AGCAGGCAGCTCAGCTCTTCAGGAGCTCCTGCTGCCCCAGCCCCATGTTTGGAGGCAGTGGGTCAGTGCCATCCCTCTAATTCAATTAAAAAATGTAAAAATGGACATTACTGACACGTGGCAGTTACCACATTGATGGTGACACTGATTTGTAGGGTTGACCCAAAGGCCTCTGCCTGATGACAACTGCACACCATCCAAATTGGGCGACTCGTGAGGAGTTAAGGACGGAGCTGCTCCAGTCTGGGGGCCTTGTTTCACACTCCACTCACTGCTGTGTTTTCTGGTAGCAACCAGCAGATTAAAACTGCCAGTAAAGAGCAGGTAAGGGCCTTCCCTTCCAGCCCTTGGATGAGCCATGACAGCACTCATGAACTGTGTGTGTGCACAGAGCATCCCAGCCAGGCTTGTGTGGAGGGAGGGTTCTTGAGAGAGACCTTCCAGACCCACACTTCACTCTGGGTAATTACAGCAGCTCTCATTTGCTCTCTGAGCACCCAGGATCCACAAATGCTGCCAAATCTTTTCCAAAAGCAGGTCTTTGGAAGTGCTTTTCAGTTTCCTCGACAGGGATTTCATAAGAAGGGCCATCAAAGCATTAACCAGCACGAAAATGTACTTTGTTCTTAGAGTTCAGAACACAACTCCAAAGTTAGGGAGCTCAAAAACCTGTGTTCCATGTCAGCAGAATAAAAGGCTTCAGCAGCTCCACTGAGCCCTGGTAATTCTTTAGGACTGCTCTGCTTTAAATGGGACACATTTACCTCAAGTTGTGAAAGCCCCTTTAAACCCATTATGTTACAGGATGGGTTGTTTTCTGCTGCACTGGATTTCCTCTCCCAAAGCAGCAGGAATTTCTGCTGTTCTCTTTATGGATCACGTTTTCTCTCCCTGCTCAGACTTCCCAGGAAACTTTCTCGATACCAGCACATTATTGTGCCATCACTGTGCTGTTTTATTGATTACACAGTACCCATCACTCCTCAGATGAATTTGTCTTTGCTTGTTATCATTTAGCTCAACATTTAACAGATATTAAGTACAAGAATTTGCCGATATCTCACAGGCCCGAAATAATTTAGCTGAATTTAGTTAGCAAGTTCACATCTTACTACACATCTTCACACTATTGATTTCCTGCAGCCTTGCCAGAACAACAAATGCCTGTTCTAAGAGATGCTCACCCGTCTGCTGCTGCACAAATCACACCAATGACACCAAAATGAGTGCTCCAAAAGCCAAAGCTCTCCCTTCAGTGTCACACCCTCATTCTCAGCACTCAGCAGTCACCCCGTTCCATTTATGGGTTGAAAATGAAGTGAACAGGGTATTTTAAGTTATTTGGAGATGCAAGTTCCTGCCCAGAGCCAGAATTACCCCATCCCATCCTGCTACAGGGCTGATAGAACACACAGCAGCCTGTGGTGCTATCCTCTTCTTTCTGGGTGTGCTTTCCACATAAATATATTCCTCAGGACCAGAATAAGCTGAACAAGTAGAAACGCATCCTCTAGCAATAACTGCGCTTCCACTGCAGAATTCCAGCCACAAATCCCACTTTCCCACGCAGCTGACGGAGAAACGGGACCCAGCAGCAGCACTTCATCTCCATCCCCGCTGCCAAGACGGCAGAGAAAGCAAAAGCTTGCCCAAACACGAGCCTACTTTGAGAGCTGCTGGACCCCCCCACTCCACTCCAGCAAACAAAAATAAGCTGCTGCTCGAGAGCAGCACAGGCGGCGAGATGGGATTTACGTCATCTGAACAGGCTGTCTCAGCAAAGGACATCTCTGGAGGGAAAAAGGAGGCAGGCTGGTCTCTACACTAATGCAATCTTTGGCTTCCTGCTGAGGCTGTGGCAGGGGCAGCAGTGCCAGCAGCGACATGCAAAGTCACAAGCTCGGGCTATGTAGGGCACAACGCAGCCTTCACATGTGACTGTCACCAGAGCAACAACTGCCACTTACTCCGCTGCTCCGGGGACACCTCGGCTCAGAGCATCTCCTGGGCACAGGCAGGGTTTCTCACAGCTCCAAATTGTGGCTGATCTCCCCCCAAAGAAAAAAACCAGTCCTGGATTCATTTAAAAATAAATCAGTCAGGCCAGGTGCAGAATTTAGACCGAGTTGCAAACAACGGCTGTCTCAGATGGTTCCATCTCATCAGACAACTCTTCTCTCCCTCCTGCTCACACTCTTACCAGGCTCTTTTTCCATGGAAAAGCAGCACAGTTTTTAACTTGATTAGGATAACTAAGGGAAAACTATCCAAGTCAGGGTACAAGCCAACCTCTAAAAGCACTGATTTCTCACTGTCTTTGACCCAGAGAAGCCCAGTTTCCTCTAAAAAGGATTCCAGTCACTTTACTTTGAAGTACTGAGCACTAAGGAAGAGCAGTGGCCACTGATGGTGCTTAGGCATGAAAGTGCTTCTGAAAGGAGGAGGACTGGGAGGTCTGTGCACAAACTGGACACAACACTTGCCTCCTAATAGCAGGGATCCTCGTTTCAGCATCACTGGCAGCTGATACTGAACTTCAGCAACTAAGGGATCCTTATGTCCCACCCAAACATACACGAGGTGCACATGACTTTAATTCTGGGGAAACTGAGACTGAGCTTCTGAATGGGAAGCTGCAGACACCCAGAACCTGCAGGTTGGGCTGTCAGAAAGCCAAGGTAACTGTGGGACTGGGGGGAGACTTTGAAACAAAAAGCTGTTTCCCAAGTTGGGGACTTCCTCCCCCGTTTGTATCCAGCCAGAGAGTACACTGAGGCTGTGGGTGGCTGCTTGTCCCTGCTCCTGGACAGCCTGGGGCCTCACCAACCACTGCACAGCCCCTGTCCCACACAGGGATCCACCCCCACAGCGAGGCAGGGCCACCTGGAGACAAGACAATCCCTCCCCACACGGGGAGTGGGATGACACAGGACCATTTTGGGGGGCAGAGGGAACAACAGTGCTCCTCAAAAGAAGGTGGCCCTGAAAATGTGGCTCCCCCAGCCCTGCACGTGGGCCAGGGGCCCAGCCAGACACAGGGAGCTGTCTCCCAGCTTCCCCACTAAGCCCCCAGGCTATGCCTCAAAGCAATACAACTCTGCCATAAATATCTCAGATTAATTCTGATCCCAGCATCAAATCCACTTAAGAGACTTAAAAGCCTCCGAGTCCCCAGAGCTGCCTGCCCAAGGAGGGCTCTGCAAATGAGTCTTGGGCTGCAGAGGAGAAATATTATCAAACCAGGCAAGCCATTTGTACAATTTTTAGTAATGTCATTTGCAAGAGACAAATGGGACAAGATAGCTGAGTTGATGTCTTGTACTGGAAGCACAGCCACAAAAATCCTCGGGTACTGGACATGGATACACAGGGTAGGATTCGTGTAACTATTCCATGCTTTCTGGAAATAGCTCTTTCTCCTTAAGGGATTGATTGATTGATAAATGACAGCATGCTCTCCAGTCTATTAAAGGAGCTATGTGCTTAGTTTTCATAGAGACATCTCTATAAAAAAGCCTAAAGTGATTACCCCAACATCACAAAAAAAGCCCTAAGTGTTAACTCTGACAGCAGAAAAGGAGCTGGGGAGACAGAGCCGCTTCCCTTTCCCACTGTGCTCCGGCCAGTGCAAGGCTTGGGAAACAGGAGCAGGTAAGGGGGACACACTGTGTGCCCAGCGACCCTTCCAGGGCTCCTGAAACCCCCACAGCACCGCGCGGAGAAAACGCTGCTCCGGAGCAGAGCCACCACCGCAGCCTCGGGAGCAGCAGGAGCGGCACTGCCAGAGCCAGCGGGAGCTGCCGGGATCGGGGCAGCTCCCCGGGAACACGCGGGGCATCCCCCCCGGCAGCGGATGGGCCTCCAGGAGGGAGACGCGGCTGAGGCTACCGGGGCTGCCCCAGCCCCGGCGGGTCCCCGCAGGGTCGGCCGGACCCACCCGGTGCCTCCCTCCGAGCCCGGCGGGACGGGAATCCCGAGCATCCCGCAGCCCCGGCCCGGGGATGGCGAGGGGCTCGCCCGCCCCGCCTGTCTGAAGCGGGAGGTTCCATATCCCGCATCCCGGGGTCTGGCGGTCCCGCATCCCGGGGCTGGCGGCGGGCGGGAGCCGCCGTGTCTGTATTTATAAGCCTAAGGAATTCGAGCGCAGTGGATCACAAACAGCCCATTGTGCCGTATCAAGCAGCGAAGTGGGCTCGTAATCCGATGCATGCTTTTCCCACTCCGCTCCTGGAAAGCCAAGCCTTAAATACTTTTCCCGAAGTAGAAACACGCTTGGAAAGCGCCGAGCTCAGTTCCTGCTATTCCCGAATCCCTGCTACTTCGGAACCGCGCAACTAAGCGGCTTTCCCGACGCTGGAAAGACGTAGACGATTAATTACAGATTAGAGAGGCTGGAATAGATGCGGCGGCCGGGAGCGCAGGCGGCCCCGCGCGGGGCGAGCAGGCGCTGGCCGGGGCCAGCCCGGTGGCGAGCGGCCAATGTTTACTGACCCCGGGCCGGGTCACTTTCGTTCCCGGCGGCAGCCACGGGCCGCTCCCCGGCATCGCCCGGGGGGTGAGCGGCTCCCACGGGGGTACCCCCGTCCGCGGGGCGCTCGGACCGGCAGCGAACACGCCGCGGGGAGAAGGGCAGGGCTCGCCCCGCTCCTCCCAGCGCCCCGGTCCCGCTGCCCTGCCCAGGGCATCCCCCGAGCGCAGGGACGGCCGCGGACACAGGGCAGCCCCGGCCGTGCCGCCGCGGCTTCAACCATCCCCCCGGGACCCCGGGACAGAGCACGAGTGACACACGGGCACCTGAGGGGCTGGGGCTCAGGGGGGACACCCCACTGCTGCGCCCGGGGCTCGCTCCGGGGCATCGCCGCGGGGAATCCCGCCGCTCCCAGCGCCGGTGCGCGGGGCGGCTCTGGGGACCCGAAAGGCAGGAGGGGAAAGGGAAGGGGAGCCCCGCTACCGAAACACCCTCCGCGGAAAAGGAGCAAAGAAAGGTTGCGAGCGCTTACTTCTCGTGCCTGGCGTTCTCCTGGATGGCGCTCAGCACCCCCGGGGGCGCGGGGGGGACGCCCTGCTGGAGCCGGCATGTGGCCAGGTGCCGGTGATGCTCGTCCTGCAGGCAGGCATTTTCGTGGTACAACTTGGCCACTTGCTGCTCCAGCTCGTCTATCCTCCTCTTCTGCTTCTCCAGCAGCTCCTGCTGCGTCTCGATAATCTTGTTCAGCTCCTTCAGGTACTCGGCCGCCTTGCTGGGGTTCTCGGCGGGGCTCTCCATGGCCGCCCCGCGGCTCGGGGAGGGGGCAGGTGCGGGCCGGCCCCGTCCGCCGGCAACTTGAGCGAGAGGGAAGGAATAAATAACCCCGCGGAACCCGGCCCCCCGCGGCCCCGCGCGTCCCCTCCTAGAGCCGCGGCTGGCCGGGCGGGCGGCGGCCCCGCGCCGCCATTGCTGCCGCTCGGCCCCCGCTCAGCGAGGGCAGGGCCGCGGCCCGGGGGAGCCGCCCGGAGCCGCCTGGGCCCCGCCGCGCTGCCGCCCGCCCGCCGTGCCCGCGCCCGTCCCGCCCTGCCCGCGCCGCAGCCCCGCAGCTCTCCCGTCGCCTGGCAGCGCCCGCGCCCCCGCCGCGCTCCGGGCCGGGCATGGGCGCGGGCTGTCCCTGCCGCGGGGCCGCCGCGCCCGCCTCCCCGCCGGGCTCCGCCGCCGGGATGCGCTTAAGTAGCGCCGGCTGCTCCTCCGGGGGGGATGGCGGGGGGCTCCGGGAGCGCCCCATCCCTGCATCCCACATCCGCGCCCCATTCCCTTCATCACATCTCGCGCCCCATTCCTGCATCCCACATCCGCGCCCCATTCCCTTCATCGCATCTCGCGCCCCATTCCTGCATCCCACGTCCGCGCCCCATTCCTGCATCCCATCCCGCACGCCATTCCTCTATCCCACATACGCGCCCCATTCCTGCATCCCACATCCGCGCCCCATCTCTGCATCCCATTCCTGCATCCCATCCCGCGCCCCATTCCTGCATCCCACATCCGCGCCCCATCCCTTTATCCCGTCCCCTCGCCCCTTTCCTGTATCCCATCCATGCATCCCATCCTCGCGCCCGTTCCTGCATCCCATCCCCGCGCCCCATCCCTGCATCCAATTCCTGCATCCCATGCCCGCATGCCATGCCCGCGCCCCATCCCCGCGCGGCTCCGGGCCGGTTCCCCCGCGGCCGGGGAGCCCCGGGAGGGGCGCGGGAGCGCTGCGGGGCCCCGGGGCGGTGCGGGCGGCGGAGCGGGGCGGCCCCGGCCCCGCGCCCCGGGAGCAGCGATGTGCGCGGGGGCGTGCGGGGAGCGGGACCCGCCGGGAGAGCCGAGCTCTAACCCGGCACAGCTGGGAACGGGCTCGCATTGCCGAGGTGGCAGCGAGGGTTGGCCCCCCGAGCTGGGTCCCCAGCAGAGCCCCCCGCCTCTCCCAGCAGCATCCCCGACATTAAAACCTACGCTGGTGAAACGCCGCTTCCCGCTAAGGCTGCATCGAGCCAAGAAAAGTTGCTGAGGTCTGGGTCCTGTATCATCCCAAGTGTGTGTTGGGAATGCTTGTGAGAACCGGGAGTAGGAAAGGGAAACAGAGGGAGATACTGCAGGAAGAAGATAGGAAGGTGAAGACGTGCTTTTCTCCTCCCTTCCTCTTCATGTCTCCTTAATTTTTTTCTCATTTTTCTCCCTCTTCTCTCCACCTTTCAACTTCTCAAGTTTTCGTCTAATGTTTTCTTGGAGCAGTTGTTTTGCTGTCACTGCTTCCCAAACCCTTCCTGGTGGAGTCGGCTCTTTCTCACCTTTGCCAGGCTGTGCTGCTTCAGGAGGGCGGCCGATGCAGCAGAGCAAGGGGGTGCGGGACCCGCTGCTGGAGAGGCTGCAGGCTCTGTGTCGTCCCCATCTGTCCACGGCCTGGGGGGCTGAAGGGTTTGGACCGGAGCTCCCAAGCAGAGGGTGGATGTCCCAGCTCCTGCCCCTCTGCCTCGGGCTGTCAGCGCAGGGAAAAGGGGCGTGAGGGGAGGACACAGCCAGAGACCCCTCTGGCAGCTCCCGTGGCCATTCTGGCTTTAGGTAGAAATAAGTTATTGGCAAAACTGTTACTCTTGCTCTGACATATGTGCAGCAAAGGCTGTTGTGACTGTCGAGGTGACTGAAGCATGAAAGACTGATTTCCAGTCCTAGTGGGAATCGTGAATTCTCAGGTTTTTAGCTGGTTTTTGAAGAGGCCGAGCTTCTGTCCCAGTAACTTGATCGGTATTTTTCGTTAGAACAGTTAAAAATATATATATTTTTTTCAGAGTACTGTTTTTCCAGAATATATTTGCTGAAGAACAGTTTGCTCAGTGTGTAAAAGAAATGCTTATCACAATATCTCACTGAGGCAACCTGCATAGTCGTAGGCAGCTAGAATATTTGTCAGGGGTTAAATCAACAAATAAAACTAGTGAACTTGTTTCTTATATGCAAAATAAAATGCCAAGTAAGACACTCAAAACTCATTAAAGTATCTGCAGACAATAAAAGCTTATTAATCATTTTCCAGTGAAGATCTGTTTGAGACACCCCTTTTTAGGCAGAAACGCCCGAGTTCATGGGAGGCACATGCCAGGTTAAGTGTGATGAATTTCCTGCTTTCTTTTCCAGATTGCAGGAAAATGCCTCCATTCCCAAATGGAAAGTTGTATCTTGTTCAGCTCCCAGCCTTGTTAGAGGAGCTGCCTGAGGAGGAGGGACAGAGCTGCTTGGCTCTGTCTGCCTGGTTTGGGAGGGTTTTCTGAGAGGATCCCAGTAACCAGATCATGAACCTGACCTCCCACTCAGCAGCTTGTGCTTCCCGTAGAGGACATGGTGAAAATCAAAACTCTCCCCAGGAAACTATAAATTAGTCTGAAAACCACATCAAGCCCTCAGAAATGCCCTGGGGTTGGCACCCTGGCTTCCTGCACCGTGTTCCTGGTGTGTTCTGCGTGTTCTGCTGCTCAGCACTGACAGGGGAAGGAGGGCTCTGTGTCTGAGGGGTTGTGTCTGTGCCTCACCAAGCCCCTGTGCTCCATCCCACTCCATAAACCAACAAGAAGAGGTAAACTTGGAAGATAAGCATATTCATGGAATCAGTAATACATTCAATCTCTATCTGTGAAGACACAGATTGTAACAGCAGATCCAGCTTGTTCAGATTTGCTCAGTTAGAAAATTAAGTGACATCAAGCCTAACCTTTTTAAATATGAGAATCACCAAAATAGCATTTTTATTACATGCTAACATCGTAGCTCAGGCCATCCATTTCTGGAGGCCAAGCAGCACATGGTTAATTCTTGCCTGGGAAAGTGCCAAGGAAGATTTAAATGTGAAAGGAAGTGGTGCTCATTCAGAAAGTGAGATTCTCTCACTGATTCATTACTGGCAAGACATAAATCACAGGGTGGTTGGGATTGGAAGGGACCTCTGGAAGTCATCAAGTCCAACCTCCCTGCTCAGATATCCCACCAGGCTCCAGAAGAACCTTAGGAAGGCCTTAACTTTAGACTCTCTCAAGCCTTGGTGTTTTCTGCCAGAGCTCAAGGAGTGTTTGGACAACACCCTCGGGCACAGGGTGGGATGGTTGGGGTGTCCTGGGCAGGGCAGGTGGACTCCATGATCCCTGTGGGTCCTTTCCAGCTCAGGGCACTCTGTGATTCTCCTTTTGCCTGTTCAGTTCTGAAATTGGATTGTCAGAGTCGAGTTTATGGTGCTGCATAAAAACTAAAAGCATAAAATGTCACTGTTTCCAAAGAGGTTTGGGGTGGCTGATGCTGCCATGGGTCAGCAAACTGCTGAAATAATTTTTTCAAACTAAGATAACGCCAGGAAAAAGCCTCTGATACATATTTTTCCATGTAAAATTAATTAGGTCAGTGTAATATAAAAAAACAAGGACTCAGAAGTCATGCAGTGATTTGTGCTCAATCTTAACTCTGCCCTCCACCTCTCTCTTTAAAAATTCTCTTCGAAGCCACTTCTTTTTTGCTTGCATTTCTCTCTTAGTATCCCCCTTCAGCCCTTCAGTTCTCTCCCTCACTTCTTGGTTCTGCTTTGTTGTGTTGAGACATTAAGGAATTTTATCCTGCTAATCGAGTTTATCCTGTTGTCAGAGTTTATATGTAGGTCATAAAACCCCAGAATGGTTTGGGTGGGAAAGGACCTTAAAAATCACCTCATTCCTCCCCCTGCCATGGGCAGGGACACCTTCCACCAGCCCAGGTTGCTCCAAGCCCCGTCCAACCTGGCCTTGGACACTTCCAGGGATCCAGGAGAGCCACAGCTTCTCTGGGCAACCTGTGCCAGGGCCTGCCCACCCTCCCAGGGAAGGATTTCCTCCTCACATCTCATCTAAACCTGCTCCTCTAAACCCACCTGGTTTTAGGTACCAAGCTCTTTCACACCATGGAAGAGGGAACATACCTGGACAAAAAAAAAAGAGAAAGCACAGCCTTAAAGACCTGAAAACTTTTAGCAACTGTGATGTTTCTGGCTTGTTCTTTTCCCTCTCCTGGTTACACCTAATTTCTGGACCTGACATCACTTCTCTTATCAGTTCATTTGATTTCTACTTACAAACATGAAAATTCCTTATGCCCTTTCCAACCACAAACCTTTTTCATGATAATCTCTTGTAAAACATGATCATATTACCATTTAACCTTTTTTTTTTTGGTTAAATGGAATTTATTTGGACTGATCTGTGTACCACAGCCCTTCTTCCAAACAGGAGGAATACCTGACCAGCTCTCAGGTCAACCCTGGAGCTTTCTGGGTGGCACCACCCCACGTGTGGCTCTGATGGCACTTTTGGACAATTGGGCTGTTCTCACCCTGCCCAGCTCCCAAACTGTTTGAAATGTCCCAAGCTCAGCACGAGAAAATCACAGCCCATATTTTAAGGCAGCTGCACGAGGCAGTAGAAAGTTCAATTTTAATTTTATGAGTGCTGATCCTGAGTGGACTGATCATTACTGCTTGTAGGAATTGCCTTTTGATTTATGAAAGCAATGATAAATTGGCTCTTCCAGGTTCTGTAGCTGACTCTGGAAGTTTGCCTGCAGTGTGGTCCAGAGCTAATCCATCTAAGCACCCAACTTTAACCAAGTCTTTCGTTCTAATGAGCCTTTCATAAAAGCATTTCCTTTGTGTTTCTCTTGGTTTCTGTGAATTCTCCCAATATATCTCGTTTGGGTAAGTGATACCAGGGAATGTTAATGGGCAAAAAAGATGTGTCCTCCTGTGCAGAGTCCTA